ATAATGTAACATTTTTATTAAGAAATATGTTTTTTAAGAGTTGCACCATATGACATTTTACAACATGAACCACCCTTGCCTTGTCTTAGAAAGGTCACATTTTCTGATATTTAGGAGGTTTATTGACTTTGAAACACAGTCATGAACGACTGCACGTGTTTTTTCTGCATGTTGGTTGCACCACATGACTGATTTTGCAGACAAAGTTTTTACAAATTGTTCAAAATTTGTTTTAGTGTTACTTCATTGTGTGTGATATTATCAAACTAAATTAATAAAAAAGCAATAGTGCTTCATTGCTCAAAGGCTGTGCTGTACTACTCTGCTGAACATAAGGACTAGATGCCCAGAAGCAAAACTCAGATGGCTGAGCAAAAACTTGATGGCAGACCTCTGCTGTCATGCAGTGACCCAGTGGAAAACTAAGTAGATATCCATGGCAAATGGGAGGCATTTTTCCTATACAAAAAGTTCAACACAACCAATGGGCCATGCGATAGAGTACAATGATAGAGAACAGAGTGTGACGCCTCTGGAGGCATTAGAGAGACTGATGCCCGTTAGAAGTGAGACAAGTCATAGATAGAAGGGAGGAGGATGGGCGGCGGCTGCTCCCTCTGCGACACAGAGGGGTGAAAGGTTCTTTTCTCAATATGATATGCTCAGCTTGAGGACTGGATGCCAGGCTTTGAACTGACAAAAGCTAAAGAGAACAGAGAACAGCCACACACTGGCGCTATTTCAAAGTTTTTCATTTACACATTCCCAAACACACATGTACACACGTCTCTAATCACACATTTTTCATCTTCAACCCTCAGGGCTTTCATAATAATAAAAACATTGGAACATTTAGGTATGCTTTTAAAAATGTGTGCAGTGAAGCAGAAATGATCAACACAGTAATGCTCTTTCTTAATCTGTCATTTTTGAAGTAAACATGAAGAAATAAGTTTAATATAAACAAAATATCAGTTTCCAATTGGCCTGGTGTTAAAAAAAATACTACTGCAAACTTGTGTTTTGCTAAAGAACCATCAAGTGATAGAATTTGTTTAGGCTTGTTTATTTTCATTCCAAATCAACCCGCTGTTTTGACCCTGGAACACAGTTAGCGCCTGACCTTAATATCATTAAAGGAAATATGAGAAGTGACACAGCTGCTCTTAATGCATCCTGTGATCCTTACATACAGCAAGATCCTCTAAAACAAAGACAGAGCTGGACTTATTTTACAGCTTTCTACTCTGACATCATTAGATTATGGAGACAGAGAGGGCAGCATAAACCTCTGACCTGACTTACCAGGTGCAATTAAAAAAATCAGGTGTCATAAAATGTGATGGTCCATGACATACGGCCCAAAGCACCACCATCACGTCCCCCAGCCTTGTTGTAAAACTGTTGCATTTACACTGCTCAAACACAACGGCCCCCTCACCTGATCTCACGGCCCCAGGCAGCAAGCACACTTGCCCGCACAAAGAGTTAGCATTGCGGACACAGCGACTCTCCGTCCAGTCCCCTCCTTCCCCCTCTCTCCCTGTCTCTCTCACTTGAAGTCTCTAAGTTCCCTTGAAACTCAGTAGTGTTTCACTCCAAGTGTTTTGCAAGCATGAAGGGAATCATCAGTCATGGTTAAAGCATGAAATCTTCACTGTAAGTGTGATTGTGAGGAAAATGATGTAACAACAATACAATGAGCAAAACAAATCCCATGAAAGTAAACTGAAAGTGAATGAATACTAGTAGATAGGCTACCAAGGAAATTTAAATTAATTAATCCCACAGAACGTTACTATAGGCTCCTATAGTTACTATAATGTAACTAAAAAAAAATCAGAAATACATATTTTATATAAATAAATTTTTATTTATAAATAGAAACAACTGCAAAAAAAAAAAAAGCTAATAATAATAGCAAGTTGCCTGAGTCAACACTGGAGAAGAGTTTCAATTACAGAAGTGAATATATATCGCTGAAACCACCTTTGGTCCCAAATTCCCGTAAAATTCACATGCAATTTTAAAAATGAACAAAACGCGGCTTCTCTATACCTCAACCAACAAACAACCTCACTTTTTACATGAATGGATTCACAGGAACCGAGAAAACAGACCGAAAGAGTCTCGAAAGAAAGAGTTCCTCTACCTGGCCCCTTTATACAAGACACAAGAGTGCATATCCTACTCTTAAAAGAAGAATTTCAAATGATGTAGCCTATTCTCTAATGTGCAACAGCATTCATTTTATGTTAAATGAAATAGGCTACAAGTGGACACTGGTATTAAAGGGACAAATCCGCGGGATGCGACACTGCTAATCCACACCTCCATCTGAGAGTTTCGGGCTCGCGTTAAAGAGTGCTTTTTAAGTACCTTAACTTTCAGAGTGTAAAATTAGAGCAAGCTACGTAAGTCTTTAAAGTCAATATTAAAACTGATAACTTATAACACATTATATCATTAGTTTTAAGTGTTTGGATATCAGTATGGTCCGATACGCGTATGAAAAGGCTGCATTTAAAAACCCAAATCTCTCACGCAAAAACACGTGCACACACAAACAAGACGTAAAAATAAACTTACAATCCTTGCGGTATGTTTTGGTGCTCCTGGACTTTTAAATGTAGCCTTTGGTAACGAGATTCCGATGCCTGGAGAAAATGTCAGTCTTGTGGTTATCCGTACGAGAGCATGGCGTGATTGTCCCTCTGCGCTCTCTGCACCAGCTGATATAGTGCTGCGAGTAACGCCTCCCGAGGCCGATCGGAAAAGTGAATCACTCAAGTTTCTGTCCAACAACAATGTGAGTGGCGGACGTGCGACACATCGGATTTCCACTCCCTGTTAAAATAGCGATATAAACAAAAAGACTGTTCGAATTTCAGAATAAGCTTTTGTGTTTTTGTTTTCGCACAAGAGTTGTTTAGAAAAAAAAATCAAAGAAGCATATGCATGCGAAAGTTTTATTGAGGACTTGTAAGTCCCTCCAGTTCCACAGGCTGAAATATGCTTCATGTACAAATATTCTCAAGATTTGTATAGGCTATCAGTAAAGCATTTTAGATAGTTTTTGCACTTTTCAATCATGAATACTGTAACAATAAATATTTTATATTGCTAACATGCCATTCAAATAGTTAAAAATGTCATATATAAATTGATATATTCATATTTGAATGTACCAACTGATCTGTTAAGTACTCTGGTTTGATAATGACTAATAATAAACTAATATGCACGTATTATAGGGCCTAATATCATATTAATATGACTTAATTATTATAATATAATATTACCGGTAATATGACTTAATTCTTAATGCTAAAGTCTCACTTAAAATCCAACTTGCAACGTGTAGTTAGTAGCAGGTGAATTTTGTTTTGTTCTTCTTCCTGTCCCACGACTGTTTTATTCTTTTTGCATCCTCTTGGCAATCCCTCAAAGACTTCCAGGCAGTCGGTTAAATTTAACCACAAGGAAGCTCACCTGTTCTGAATCTTCAGCTGGCCTCTGTTTAGCTTTAGATTTTCTGGCTAATGGCCAGTGCCTATTGTATGTGTGATATGGAAAAGTGGAAACTGAATTGAAACATTCTCAACAATATCAATGGAATCTTAATGGATAAATTGTTCAGAAGTATGGATTGAAATGATGCATTTGATTGTAGACGCAGTAGTGCATTGATTCAACTGCAAAACATAATTTGGCTTCCTCTAGCAATGTGAGGGTACTGATGGAAAGAGATAAGCCAGATGAATGCAACTGTAACCACAACATTACACGGAAAGTGTTAAGTCTTGCCAGCATTATTTTTTGATTGTGTGAATAATTTGGACGGAGATTGATCGATGTGCTTCTCCATGTAAACATATCAAATGAGATGGAACACCTGCCAAAACAAAAAAACACATAAATTGTGGAGCTGCCCCTGAAATAGGAAAATACGCATTAAACGTACGTACACATGCAAGGACTTTCCAGCATAACAGTTCCCACATTAAAGGCAACTTCACACCAGACTCACCAACATTTGATTGTTCAGTGGTCTCTTTTTTGAAGACCACGCAGGGTGGAAACCATCAGGTCTTTTTGTGAGTAGCATGCATAGAAATCCAGCAGTTGAAAAACATTTGGTTTTAGTTAGGGGCGTAGTCTGGTAAACCGAGACATGTTCCAAATTAAAGATTGTTAAAATGGTCTTTCCATCTTATTAAGTTTTCACTGGAGTCCATTCTTTGTGTCTGCAGGAAAGGAAAGAAAAAGTTTTTCACAAAATAACACTGGTTTCGGATTAAATACTTGCGGGGGTTTAACACAGCCTGTCTATAAAACAAAAATATCACAAATTTTTTGACAACCTCATTGTTGACAATTTTATTAACAAATTGCTATCAGCAGTAGCCTATAGCTGTTCACATCCCATCATAGAGGGAAGCCTGTAAGGGAACACAGAACCCTTAAACGTTTATCCATGGTGGGACCACCAGGAAAGTATGAGACAAGGACAAATGATGCATCCGTTGATAAATAAAGTTCACATTGCACTTCCACAGTCTGCGTTTACATACCTACCTGCCCACATGGTCTTTTGGCTATAGAATTCAAACAATATGTGGCAGGCAGATCAGACATACAAGCAAAGGAATAGCTCACTTCCAACGTGACAGCAATTATTTCAAAACATGCTGCGTCAGAGGACTCTTCCAAATTGCTTTGTTAATAGCCGAACTGCATTCATACACTGAATGAGCTGAGCTACGCAAGCGTGGCGTCGTGTTGTGTTGCGTTGTGTTGCACAGCGGGATGCCAAACAAGAGCTTGTTAGTAACCGAGGCTTGACATGCTCGCGGCTTATCGGATAAGATAAGAAAACGATGAAAATGAGCGGCTAGAGTTCTCATTGTGTGTTAGAATCGCATTATGCGTTATAGTTGATAGAGTATTGTATTCCGTTTTCAACTAGTTGCCTCGATGCCCCCCCTCTCTCAGAAGCAGTGAAGAGGCTTTGATCTCGTTGCCATGGCAGCTGTCAGAAGCGCAGCGCAAACCGCAGCCTGCCTGGCGCGAGGCTTGTCCAACTCTAGTTAGAAATGCTTAGCTTAACTAATGAATTCTAATCAAGACTTACTGCTTGGATGCCTTACTTCGCTTCGTTTAACCATTTCAATTTCGAAAGCGGCGGCTTGCAATTATGCTTTCCCTCTGATATTCAAATATAGCACTTTCTAAACTAGCGCGTGGAATCACTAAGGATGTCGCAGAGGTGAGTAATAACTGCCCTTTTACTTTGTGCACTTCACTGCAAAACGAGAATGTTGATGTGATGCCAAGAACCACCATAGTGTTTATAATTAATGAAAATTGTGTAATGTCTGTGTGAGAAAGTGAATATTTGATACAGCTATTAACTCTAACGTTCAGAATTGTCTGTATAACTTGATATCAAGGGAATAGGCTATGCGACATTTCTATGTGTAAAAAAGGAAGTTGCAAAAGAAGAAAAGAGTTCTAGTAAGAACGCCTACTAGGAGAAAGTCTACATTGAATTGCAGTTCCTATGACAACACAGAGCCAAACTACTGAGAACCAGCTGTATTTGTGTCCTGAAATAGGAACTATTCAAATCCGCTTTGGTGTAGGTAGAGGTATGCTATTTTCAGTCATCCTACACCATTAGTTTTCTAAAGAAGAGCATTACATTTAGTAGTACTGCATGTGTTGATAGCACTTTTTAAATTCCCCAAGCAAGGGGATTTTTCCTCGTCATTCACTATTTTCTGTGGACATCCGTTAGTTACTGCAGATTTGTAGTGAACTGTAGTATTTCTGCCTTTGTTGTCTGCCATATTTAAGATATCTCTAAGAGGCCTCTCTATTTTATTGTAAATGTTCTTTTACAACCACCCTTCTAACCTCCTCCCACAGCTCCTCCCCAGCCCCCTCTCCCGCTCTAACTATCCCGTCCCCTCCTTTGATTTTGCCATCTCTACAATTTGAGTAGCTCTTGGCAGTGCTAATGCCCAGAGGGGAACAATACTGTATGGGCCCATCAGAATAAGAAAAGAAGGTGGTTTCACCCTCGCCATGAACTCTTTCAACAATCACAAAAGAAGCACCCACTCGCAAGGGAGTCAAAGAGGTCAGAGGACATCTGTGGAATTCATGTGTATTCAACTTTAGAAAACGAGGAATGGAGAAATAATGTTTGTCAGGGGATTTCTTCCATTATGTGGCTTAATATGCTGACTTACGGTGAATTCAATGTGCGTTCTGTGGTTTCCCACATTTAGGTTGCACAGTCAGACATAGGCGGTGCTAATTTTGGCCTGAGGGTCTAAAAACTTTCCCAGAGGGCAGGTGCACTCAACAGGTGTAATTAGGCCTGTTAAAAAGTACTACTGCAGATTTACATGTCTGCTGATTCCATTTCAAAGACAGATTGCTGTGGAAGGCCATGGAGTTTTTAAATATGGAAAATCTTATATAAATTGGCATGCATAATAAATACACTAAACCACTTTTCATGTGAAAATGTAATCATTGTTTTATCCATACACTTCTAAATAAACTGACAGTAGAAGTAAAATATACAATTTACAGGACTGTTATCATAAATACAATCCCTTTCCTCTACCCAGTTCATATGGGCAAATGTGGAATGCTGCTCAGGGAGCTTTGGAGGACCTTTTGGAGGATGAATATCCCACAATGCAGCTCCATCCTCAAAAGGACCGTCTTCAGGTCTTCCAGACGCTGGCAACTTTCTACCTGCGCTACCTGAAGATATTCCGTGCCCTGGAGGAGGTTTATGATCAGAATGTTCACCCCCAAAAGAGGCGTGTTGTGCACCAGGTTCTTGAGGGGGTGATGGGACGACTTGTAGAGCTGAAGAATGAGATGGTGGAGCTGGAGTACTCAGAGTTTCACTACTTTGATGACATATTGCAGGATTTCAAAATGACACCTGTGAGTGAGATAACAAAATATACTGTTGCATGTACAGAATGCTGGGAATGTTTTGGTCTCTTGTGGTTGTAGATTCAGAGCAGAGGGCCTGGAGGGAATTTAGGAGATTTGGGTTTGGGGAGGATTTAGCTGCTCAATGTCAAAGTGGATTTTAGTGAGCTAAGCCTCTTCTTTTTCTCTGAATTTAGTGAATGCTAATTGGGGTCACTAGTGCACAGGTTTTACATATAACCTTCTCTATTCTTTTTTAGGAGGATCTTGAGGTGCCTATTCCACGCTATTTTGTGAGGGAGAAGATGAGGGCACTAAAAGAGAGAGAAAAGATGTTGGCCCATATTTTGGCGAAAGGAGGACGTCAGGAAACTAAAACTGTGAGTGTGTCACAGTCAATGAAATATAAAAGCTCTCAGTACAAATACATGTAATGCAAGTCAAATAATAATAGCTGTGCCAAATACTGGAGGTGTGTGGTTCTGGTTTCTGGTTAAGCAGGTGCCAGTTCAGTCCATGTCTGTGGAGCGGGCTGTGTGGCTGCTGCAGGTCAGTGAGCGAGCTCGGCAGGGAAGACTGAGAGCTCACTTCATGAAGACAATTCGGCAGGAGGAACAAAGAAGACTTCAGGGTAACTCTAGCATGCTGGACCCTAACCAGGCAGCCACCTGCATTCAGAAGGTATCAGGCATTACTTGATTTTCAACAAAAAACTTTCTAGTCCAACTAAATTACTGATGCATTTTCTATAGATGGGTTTGAAATTGGCAAAACAAACAAATGATGAGGTAAATTTTTATGCAGTAAACTTAAATATTACTATATAAAGGAATAGTTCACCTAAAAATGTTTTGTCTTTTATTATTTACTTACCCTCATGTCATTCCAAAAATTGTATGGCTTTCAAGAACTTTGAAGCTCTTAATAGGACATGCAATTAATCTATGTCTTCACTGGTATATTCCAAGAATTTTTAAGCAAAACAATTAGTTTGTATGATGAACAGGTTAAATTTAAGTCTTTATTCACTCTCAAATCAAGTTAATTTCATTAAACAGTTGTAGGCGTTCACTAATTCAAATATGGTGACACAAACTAGAAGACATGGAGTATTTTTTATGCTTCATGTCCATTTTGCGAGCTTGAAAGTTTAGGAAAAACAGTTGAAGCATTCTTCAAAATATCTTTTGTGTTGCAGACTTTATAACTTTCTCTTTTTTTCTTTTGTTCTTTTGTCATTACTGTTAGTTAGTCATTTTGTTGTGAGGTTAAAGGTTCATATTTTTACATTTGTCACCATTCTTGAGATTTTGTGTGTGAAGTGTTGAGGTCTATTTACAATCATTTAAAATTCTATTCCAAATATCTTTGCTCTGTATTGTGATTGCTCTTTCAGAAACAAAGATAGCATAGTTCACTTTACATGTGAAATGTTCTATAAAACTCTATTTTTGGTTATTGTGTTACTAACTGGAAGCTTGCTGAACAAGACATTTGTAGTTGTTATTTTCACATTTTCACATTGACTAAACAACGTAGCGTTACTTAGGGCAATTAAGACAATCATTAGGAGAACTTAAAAATATGAATTTTTAACCTTATTTATTTATTTATTTATTGGTTGGTAAACATTTCTCACAGGTCTCACAGGTATTTAGGAGAACTTAAAAATATGAATTTTTAACCTTATTTATTTATTGGTTGGTAAACATTTCTCACAGGTCTCACAGGTATTCATGAATTAATGTTATGAGTACACATTCAGTGTCATCAGAGTATGCAATTGGCTATTTAGGAAGTAAAAAAAAAAACTGTTATGGCCCTGAAGATGATAAACACATCATAACATTGCATCAATAAATATATCATTATTTAAACTGAAGTTGATGATCTAGCATCATACACAAGCGAGGTAATACCTGCTGCCCTACCTGTGCATGAACTCAGATGCTGTAGAGGTCAGGCCATCTCCTATCACAGTCATCAGTTGTCACATTTGACATGAAGTCCGCTCAACAAAGGACTATGAATGACATGCGATCCCATCCATGCATAAAAGATATATGTCCAACTCATCTGTGGGAATAATGTGCTTGTAGGCCCTTTGGCAGCAGGAGGGAGATTAGCATTGTAGTGCTGAGAGATGGGAAAAGGAAAGCATTCCTGGATTTTAGGTGTTGTTTTTTAGTGCCATCCTAATCATGAAATCTGAGCTCATGTATCCTGACGTCTTTTTGAGTGAGTGTTCGCTACGGTTGTTGAACCCAGACATAGATGTAGCCTGAAAGAGATAGCAGATATGATTTTGGAGCTCTGAAGTTTTTTGCAGTGCAGGTGTGAAACTGACATTGCTGAGTGAAAAGGTCCTCATGGGTAGCTCATGGGTAATTCACTTTCAAATAGCTCATACAACAAGCATGTTGTGCCGTGTAGTGAATGAGATTACAGGAGGTGATAAACAGAGATTTGGGGCTCTCACACTGCGAGACTGTTTTCACAAGGTCTAATCCTCCCTTCGCTCTCATTCTGTAGCTCACAGCAAAACAGATTTCTGTGCTGTGAAACCCTGGAAACATAATCCTCTCACTTCACTTGGCTATTGCTGTTTTAGCATCATTGTCGTTCAAACTAAAAAGGAGGATTTATTTAAAAATACAAGAATAATCCTTGCCTGCATTTATGAACTGTAAGCTGAGTCTTGCGATTGATTTGCCTTGGTTGTTGAGGTTATCTAAATACGAACCTCCCCACATCCTCAATGGCAACCTGAATGATAAAAATCAGTTTGTCAGATCAGAATTTCGGTTGCTGTTAGTACATTCCTCTCATCCAAAAATCCATAGTGAATGCAAGAAGACGGTAGATTGTTTCTCACCAGATAACACAAGAGCTAAAGAATGTACTTGATGTCAAAGTGACTATGATAGTATCATTTCTGGTATGTGTCCTCAGCCTCAGTTTTCTGTCCCTCCTGCTATTATGATGTGTTTTTCGCTCTGTCTTCTAGGTTTGGCGGGGGTATCGGGACAGGAGGAGGGTCAACAAGGATTGTCTAGAGGAGATGATATTTTTGGGAATGGTAAACACCAGGATGCTCTGCTAGTTTACTGTTTGTGAAAAGCAAGTCTTTTCGTGAATTTGTTGTTGTTTATCTTCTGCTATTTTTGATCAAACCACATTCTGAACTTTTTGTACCCTTTGTTGTCAGTTTTTCCATCTCTTGTCTCCTGGTGCCCTGTTTCCAGATACCAGCCCAGCAAACAACACCCAGCCCTGCCCAACTGCATGCCCAGCAGGTGGAAAGCAGGAGGCATTGTGTGCAGGAGGAGCATGAGGCTGAGTACCAGAGGGCACTGGTCAACATCAAAGAGTCGGTGCGGTCTGTTGATGGGCCAGATATTAAAGAGAGCCTGCAAGAACAAATACGCCAGTGGTTTCTTGAGTGTCGGTAAGTCATACACAAAAATCATGGATACACAGTTTTAAGCAGGGTTACAGTTTAATTAAAAAATTCATAGGTGGGTCAAAGGTGCATCGTTTTTGTCCTATCTATTCATTTATTGAGGAAAAATGCAATTCATACATACAATGACTTGGATACATTTTTTATGAAGAGAATATATTTAAATTATTTTGTTAAATATATAAGTCAATCAGATATTAAGTCAGTGAAAAGTCAGGATGATAAAACTGTCCTGGTATCCTAAGGAAGAAAAAATAATGACATTTTTGAAAATTAACCCTTGTTAAGTAGTTTGGCATAATATATATATATATATATATATATATTACACACATTGTGTGTGTGTGTGTGTTTAAAAAAACTTGAGATTCTCTGCAGTTCCTACTGACTATATGCTATATGTCAAGGTCAAAATTTAAAAAATCAGATGACCTTAAAAAAAGTAATGACATTTATAAATTAATAATTGAAAAATACTTTTTGTCTTGAAAAATATATATTTAAAAAAAAATTAAATAATGATTAGAATGTGTTTGCTCACATGTATTTAATCTGTAATGAAAATCTGTTAATTTTTACTTGATGGTTACACCACATGACATTTTAGGAGTCCAAAAATTGAAACCATTTGTAAAATTGGTATTATTAAAGTTTTTCAAAACCATATAAAACAAATATAGATAAAAGAGTACATTTCTAATAACTTGGCACATATGTTTTAAACTAAAATATCTTTATTTTTCTTTATTATGGACAGTGTTATAGGAAGGTATAAGTAATTGCAGCAAATTGTGACAAAATTTCAATAATATTTTTTCCACTTATGAAAAAAAGGGCTTTTTGTTCCTCGGCATTCCCTCAATTACTTTCTCAGAATCTCTGGAACTAATCACCTCTATGCAATCTTCTACCTGTCTCCTTTTGCTAATCTGCTAATTTGCTTCCACACTCTCAAGAGCTTTTCCTTGCATCTCCGTCCACTCAATCCATTATTTCACTCAAATTGTAAAGTACATTCCTGGCGTTTCGTCTCTTTCTTTTGTGCAGAGGCTGGAATGTAAGCAGTCAAAGCGATGGTCACTTTTACCCAGGGCTGTTTATGCTTAGCTAATGCATGTGCTATTTTCAAGTGTGCACGGTGTAGAGTGAGACTGGGCTGATTAGTGCATTCCAGCCTGATTTACGGCCTGCCACTGCATGCTGCTGCCCATTAATGTGGAGACAACAGTCATAAGTCATCTCAGTTGGACAACACAATGTTGTGGGGGGGAGTTCAGTAGCTTTGTCTCCGGTTAGTGGCCCCTTTCTCTGGCTCCTTCCAATGACCTTGCTGGGCCCCTGCTGGTTGTATAAGGGATGTATGGGATACCAGGTCAGGACCTGCAAGGTGAAGTATGTTGGCGTGGTTTCGTATATGCTGATGAAGTGGAAGAGCGAAAGGTGGAGTATTTAAACAGCCAGTCAGACATATGCCGTAAAAAATATAAATGCTTTACCATTATTACAATTTTCATCATGCTAACATACAGTCGGGTTCCGGATGTAAAAACCCAATTAATTTTCTCCAAAGGGAAGTTTCAAGGTTGTTTGGAATCAGTATGATTTGGTTGAAGCCATCTATTCACATTATTATTTATTTTTATTATTATTTATAAAATAATCATGTTTAACAGCTGTATTTGTGATGAAAAATTACATTACCCATGATGCTGTGCAAAATTCCACCAGAGATTCATAGCATGCAAATCATGGCAAAAGAGCTTGCAGGGAACGTCCATTTCTAATACAACTTTAACTGAATAGATGTACATTTCTTCATTGTTTTAATTTGATTATGTTATTCTTCATAGGATTGTAGTTCCTTCCCTTCCTAAAGCTGATAAGTACTTGTGTCTTTGTGTTTTTGTCCAATTTTCAAATACTTTTTTTCTGCAATGTTCTGATTCACCTTGTAGGTGGTTGGCTTGGTTCATGACATAACACTTCAACAAAGACATTTTTAAATCTGTATGGGAAAAATGGAAGAAAAAAAACAACATCACTGAAAAATTGTGTGGGCACTAATGCACTCTACACTGAGGTAGCTGAGAGAGAAATCAGCAGTTCCGTTGTACAATCCCTTTATTGGAGTTGTTGAATAAAAAGTATGCTTGGTTTATTCAAAATGTAGTGAATCTATTTTATTTTATTTTTCTTCCAGTGAGCAGATTTAGTTGAAATTCAATCCTCCACATTACAGTAGTACAGCTTTCAGCATGAGCTACCTCATTGGAAGTGAGTTTTAGCAGTGTGCTACTGATTAAGTTAGCTAGAGCAGAGAGCTGAGGCTGGGCTCTGACTGACACCTTTACCCTGTTATTCTAAACCTGCCCCAGCTCCCCTGAGAGTCAGCGCTGGACCTGGCTAATGTATCCTCCCCATGCGTGAAGTTCACAGTTCAAATATGATTGATTTGCCTTTGTTCATGCGATCTGCTTTGTTTATCTATATGTTCACACAGACATGAAGTCTGTGTTACCTCATCTTTAAGGAAAAATGTGTTTTTCACATAGAGTTCTTCCCATATATTTTCCGTTTTGGGAGAGAAATCTTAAAAAATATTGGGAGGGAAATTTAAACCAAAAAAGTTGAGTAATAGGTGTTTTTAGTCTCTCAATAGAAATGTTATATTTGTCCTCTTTAATCTACACCACTGTACATTTCAGCTGTTTAAAAACATTCTAGAAAGTCACCGTATTTAAGTTCAAAATGTAATTAAAAATATAAATATAATACATGTAATATAATACATTTTTAAATTAAATAATAAATTACATTATTGCTGTTTTGTGTTTCAGAGATGCCACGGGGAAATTCCCTGACTTCCCAAGTCCTGAGGATGGAGGATCTGCATCTATATTTGCTCAGAAGACACCAGAACAGGTTATTAATCCTATCAGTCTACTACATCCATCCAGATACTATCCATCATACTTTAGCTAATAAATATTATTTGATTTCAAAAGGATATTGCTTGATACTGTCTTTTTTTAGATACATAATAACTTTTTTCATTAATGCTTGTTTAAGAGTGCTAACATGTAGTGTTTTGAAGGTTGCTGCTGAATTCGCTGCTAAAGAAGAAGAGAGGGAGAAGAAGAAAAAATCGAAGGGAGAGAAAGACAAAAAAGGGAATGACCGCAAAGAGAAGAAGAAAGAGAAGAAAGGGAAGATGAAAGGAAAAAAGGGGAAAGGAGATACAGAGGTGAGGCCATGCCTTGATAAAAACGTATCACTGTTGCACAGAAATCAATAAAGTCTTTTTAAAATATCTGTATCTGCAGAATTAAATCAGCTGATGTGGCACAAATTTGAGTGTCCAGTGACTCAGATGACCTTTGTGGTCATGCCCACACACAATGAACCAGACTTGGTTGAACTGCATAGTGCTGACTTTAGGTGGAGAATTTGATTACAGATCGAGTATTGAAAGAAAATCACTTTTTTTTCCATTGTACATTCTCGTTTAGTGTTTCCTTGTCCTTGTCAATTATTGCAACCTAACTTTGTTACATCTCCATTTCAGGCAAGTTCCTCTAACCTTTAGGCTTATTTACATTACAGTTAGATGAAAGCAGGTTTATACTGTAGGCGTTCCTCTCAGCATCTGTGCTAGACAGTTTCATTTCACAGATTTCCCTGAGGAGAGAAGGCCTGAAGTTTCCAGATATTAAGTTAAAAGAGTCATAGATGAGAGAATTATGACATATCACAGCAGCACTTGCATCATTCCATCTTAGAAAAGGACATTTAACATACTCTACGCTCATATTCTCACGCATAATTGCACATTGTAAATATCTAGAGAACTGTAATATCCTTGCCAGTGTTCTGTTCAGGGTAGATTAAGATTAGGAATGTTGAGGATATTAGTTCCCTTTCAGTCGGTCACTCTGAGTCACGTCGGTGACCGACGAATTGGGATATCGCTTCGATAAACCAATCTACTTCGAGTGTAAACTAAACGAGCCAATGCACATTGGCATGCAATTATTGCATCCAGCTGCCGCTGATCACAGCATGAGTATAATAAGGCAGCAGGTGCAATGCATACCAGCTTTTCGCTTCGGAGCCGAGCGACAACATCGTTCTGCTCTATATTAATTTTGAGAACTACGAGTTCAGCACGCTCTCGGAAGTTTTCTGTGTTGGCGAGACGGCACTTCAGCGGTGGTCGTTCCAGTGTTGAGTGGGTTGCGCACTTCAGGCTGCACTACCCCCTGTCGTGTTGCAAGCGGCCATCTCCCCTGTGCGCCTCAGCACTAAAAGAGCATTTCCTAAAGAGCAAATTTCTCTAAAAGAGCTACACATGGGTCCTCATATGGCTTGTTAACTGAGGGGGGTTACAGAGTATTTGTTAAATATAAAAACAAAATATATATTGTGTGTTTGAGTGGTCCAGACGCTACAATACCCTCTTGGGACCTGTCTCTAGTGTTAAAATCACTACAGCATGGCCCATTCGAGCCTTTGCATTCAGTTAAGCTAAAGTTTCTTTCATTGAAAACTCTGCTCCTATTTGCACTGGCCTCCATCAAGAGGGTAGGGCACCTGCACGCATTTTCGGTCGACGATTCGTGCCTAGAGTTTGGGCCGGCTGACTCCCAGGTAATCCTGAGGCCCCGGCCCGGCTACGTCCCTCCTTCAGGGAACGAGGGTTACCATACGTAACCGAGACGCTTGTTAAACTCATCGACAGTCTCCGGAAATATCTGTGATTTCAGCAAGGCGTTCCTGCTTAGTGTGCCATAGTGTTACCTGTTGCTCTCCCTATTCAGAACTCTTCCTCTTGTTTAACATAGATATAGCTTCTGTTTTCTGTACTACGACATCCAGACTTCCTGTGTTCCAATATTTTATTTTAAAGCTGTAATATGATGTTTTAAAGCTTAGATGTGGCAGACAGCAGTCTTTCGTGTTTAAGTCCAAAGTGATTTAGGTTCATGTGAGGTTTAATGTTCTCTGAGCTGACCTCTGAACGTCATATGCTGACCAGTGGCTACTGTGAGGCACTCAAGCGATGAAAATGCCTGCTCATGCTGATTGGCTGTGTTCCGGAGTTATAGAATGAAGCCTTTGTTCATGCTTTCCTTCATAAGAGCACCTGTAATCCTCATTGGAGAGCAGAACCACTGATATCTGCTCATAATGAGGCCGAAAGACCAATCTGACCTTTTTCAAAGGCTCACATCCTGTTTGAAAGCTGAGCCTTTCAATAGTTAAGGGATTTTTGGCAGAGCTCTTATGTTGGCCTAGTTTAGGACTAGTTTAAATTTTCAAGTGCCACTCAAAGGCTCCTTGTTAAAGAAAAATGAAGGCAGTACCAAAGTTATACAAAGAATGTTTTTAAATCTGTGATTAGTAAATATTTACCGTATTTCCACCACTGCTTACCAATGATTAAAATATGTTTTTAATTTATTTGATGTAAACAGCATGGCCAAAGGAGATATAAAAATTTACTTTTTGTATATTTTGAATAATATAAAGATATGTAGATTGAAAATATCTAAAAATGGCCAAAAACATATAAAAAATAAAAGTAGCTAATTTTTAAAACCCATATTCGCAATTTATTTTTGTATATTTTGAAATATATAATTTTTTTTTAAATCTAAAAATATACATATGTTTTTGTTCCCTATATCTGACAAATTCAATTAGACCTGGCACATAAATTCATTTTGCTCCTGACCTGGCCACAGGTTTCTTTGATATAATCTGCTAGATCCATTTGGAAGTTCTGTCTAATGCCACATGAATAATCATAAATCACTGCTCCCAGGCACTTAAGTGCCTTTCATATTTTCAGATGGATTTGTGTCTCTTTTGGGGGTCATTAGCTGCTAATGGAGAAATGTGTTTAAAGAAAGACAGCCCATAAAATATACAGCCTCCATTTGGCTTATTCCTTCTGAAAATGCTCTACTCCCAAGCAGACACACTCTGCGTTTTTGAGTGTGTGCTTGTGACACGCAATCCAAACATTCGCATGAGTATGTGAGGACATTGATTTACTTTTAATGTGCGACCCCTAGTTGAGAGAAAGGAAAACAGGAGGCACCGTAAATCATACTCGCAGCATCACGTTCAGCCCCCGCTGTGTATTCACATCATTAAAATGCCAGCGCTGAGGGTGACCCTGCACCAGAGCAGCGTGCAAGAACATCGCCCTGGGAAGAGCTTTGATCACTCATGTGGAATCTCAGTCTCATAGATTTATCCATAACTTGACTTCAATTATTTCAGAGAACTTTCCTTGTCCACCATGTAAAGTTCGTATACAGGAAAACAGTGATGCTGTGCTTGTGAAGGACCCACCTTAATACAAACTGTCTGTTTTGCAGGAAAAAGAGAAGGGATGGAAGATGACTCCCAGTAACTTCCTTCCTACAGTAGTCGAGGGAGCCAAACTGTACAAAGGTAAGTGGGAGATGACGGCAAAAGGGTGCAGTCTGCGTGTCTGTCATCGAAAATTAATGCAGCTTTTCCCTGACCAAATGACTGATTCTCAACAATGTCAACAGTGTTTGTGTGAGGTCAATGAGCGAGTGAGCTTTCATCACAATTGTGACATGAGATGTGTCTGGAATACGTCTAAGTAACCAATAATGATAGGGCCATGTCAGATTCTCAGGTCAAGACCAGTCCAGATGGTTCCCCACCCCACATGGAACTTTTTTCCTCTTCTTTCTCTACGTCTTTCTCCACTTCTTTCTCCTTCCCCCTTCTTTTGTGACTACAGATACGTTTTCTTGCCCTCTCATTAAAGCTGAGTCTCTTGACGCCACATTGAAGTCCAGCTCCTCGTCTTTCTATAATCAACAGCAGTCGTCTGTCACTCCCCCGTTGTCTCGGTTTCATGGCAAGAACAGTTTTCACAGGCCATATAACCAACTACATTTGTTTGTGAAGTGATAGGTGTTCATTTTTTTTTTCAATTAAATTCTGTTTATTTTGGTCCTTACATACAACTTTTCACAAAAAATAAATAAATGAATATAATTTCTGAAAAAGGTTTAGACAGAAGCCTTGCTTATTAAGCCTACACTTTATACATATTTAACCGATGTACGTCACTTTTCCACTAGATTTGATAATACAAGATAAACAAAAGTTACATAATACATTTCCCAAAATATACATACTTAATTACAAACATACATAATTACAGAAATACACATTCCAACTATTACTTCAATATGTTAAATAATACTTACACAATTTATTGATAATGAGTCATATAATTATTTAGCACCATGTTTTTATATATTTTCTTAAATTTGCAAGGTCATTTACATAATTTTAATTCCTTATCACAATTATTCCATAGATGTACCCCTTTGACAGATATACACGTATTTTTAGCATTAGTTCTTGCCCTTACTTTTTTAAACATATACATTCCTCTTAGTTTATACTGACTTTCTCTTATTTTGAACAGCCTCTGAATACAATTTGGAAGTAAATTATTATAAACTTTGTACATTACCTGTGCTCTATATAAATAAACTAAATCAGCAAATTTTAAACTAAAGCATGTAATTTAATAAAAAATTTGTTTGTTGGTTCGTAATAATCAACCTGTTTAACAATTCTTATAGCTTTTTTTTGTAACATATATAATGAATTTGTATTAGTTGTAATTAATTGACACCCACACCACAATAAGTAATGTATGGAACTATGAGCGCACAATACAATATATATAATGTGTTTTCATTCAAAGTATATTTTGTTTTATTTAATATTGCAATGGATTTGGACATTTTTGTTTTTACACAATTTATATGTGGTTTTCAACATAATTTATGATCAATTATACACTCTTTCTATTTCCTCATTGTTAATCCTTATTTTAACTTTATTGTTACTTTTTTCGATTGCTAAATATTATAAACTTTGTTTTACTTAAATTCAATGAAAGTCTATTGTCATCAAACCATTTTTTGAAACTCATCAATTCGATTTCCACTGTATTCAGAAGCTGTTCCAAATTTTCCCCCGAACAATATAAATTAGTATCATCAGCAAACAAAACAATTTTTAATACTTTGGACACTTTGGACGATTCATCCAGTTCTCTCCAAACGATTGACACTGTAAAACAGTACTGATAAATTTACAGTAAAGAACTGGCAGCTGTAGTTGCCAGACATTCACTTTAAAAATATGGTGTTTACAGGAGGCATTTAGATGCATGCATATTTTACAATTCATGACGATTTAGATCATCAATTGACATAGTGTTAACTAGCCCTGACAAGGAGTAAACTAACATACTTGAAGTTCTAAAATCTGCTGCATTATAACACAGATGTTAAAAAACAGCACATGATGAATCAAATAAAACATACTTTTTCATAAACTCAACACTCAAAGCACTCAAACTGTATGTCACACACCCAAAGACAAAATACTGTACCATCAGGGTAATAATACACTATATAAACACTGCTATAAACATTGACTAAAATAAAAAAAATGTAGCCAACACACTCTGATGACAACAATTATATTAAATGGCAAAATCATATGATATAGTACGTCTTGGATATTGGATTATATGGAAACATATAACTTTTCTACATTTTTTTCCTGTCACAATCATGGTTAGGTTTAGGGTTTGAGTAAGGGGTTAGGCTTTATGTTTTGATTTGAAATAATACTGTCAATTAAAAAAAAAAGTTTTGTAAGCAAATCATATCAAATCAATTTATAGCAAATCATAGCAAATCAAATTATAAGTTATTATGAATAACAATATAAGGATTTTCTTGACATCTAGAAAAAAATAGTTAAAGATTTCATGTTTACAAAAAAACTATAAATATGTGACGCATCACAAATACATTTTTGTGGATTTCTATCCTTTTTATTGTTTTTCACTAACCTACACTACCGATATATGTGTGTGTGTGTGTGTGTGTGTGTGTGTGTAAATATCGTACTAAGTAATAAGTATAATCTTTTTTTTTTTATATATAAAATTGTGAACCGTTTTTACTGTATAATGTTTTTCATGGATGTCCTAAATTATTATGGTTGTAAATCATTTGTTCAGCTTGTTCAGACTTAGTAATGTAAAATATTGCCATTTATTTCAACAGTAAAAGAAATGTAATTCTTCCCATCCACACAAATGGCTTTGCCACATTCTATGTCCTATCTGACCTGATGCTTCACTTGGGTCTTATTCTGCATTGTGTGAAGAGAATGTGTGTTTAGGAGCCATAATTCAACTTCAGCATTGCCTGCAGAACAGCAAATCAATCAATTCACCCCTGAAACCTTGTGACAAGACAAGCATGTTAATGACTGAGACACTACTTCCTGTTAGTCTAGAGGTTTAAGGTCTCTCAACAGGAAATGAGAAGACTGGACTGCACTTCTGTGTTTAAATGATCAATGAAGACAGGGTAGAGAGCTAGATCTCAGATCTTCCGAAACCATTGAACGTTTCTGTGCATGTCTGTGAATGTTTGTGTCAGTAGGGAGCAGGTGAACCAGAGGTCTGCAAAAACACATTCTAAACATGTCATTCTAGTATTTCCAGGATGGATTGCTATGACAACATCCTGTTCTGTTGCCTGGGTTCAGTGATTAGAGAACTTCTATCAACAAACTGCATTCACACCAGTTCCATTTTAGCTGTGGTCCGGTCCATTACCAACCATCTCTAGGGTCAGCTACAGATTTCTCTTCTACACCTACTACAACTGACTCATTTACTTTCTGTTACCTGAGAGAGGTGTGAGGTATTTTTTAAAGTCAACATCTGATAAGGAAAACGTCTGTCTTTTTAAAATCACTGAATCTTACATTTATCTCACAGCTGTGCATTTGCCTTGTAACTCTGAATGAGTATCATTCTTCAAAGAACATAGAGGTTCACTGAAGCGGATCATCCACTTCACATCTGCTGAAGTTCTCTGTGTTCTAAGCCCCTTCACATGTATTAATCACAAGACATGCGTTGACGTCAAGTCACTTCAGTTGCTTCTATCGCCTACAGGTCTTTGATTCTTAATCTTTCCCTTCAAACCATCAAACTGCAGTGTGATTGTAATAGTACTACAATCTATGCATTGAGAAATGCAATTTTGTAGCATAAAATGACACCGTATTGTGTGATGAACAACTCTCAAGTACAACTACATTTACATTAAGCATACTTGTAGTCAATGTAGTGCAATAGTACTTCAGATCAGCACAACAACAGGTCTGACGGACAGCTGCACTGCAAAGTGAACTAAGCTGCAGTTTCTGTGTAACAGCTGCAGTGCATTGGCATGGATACAGTTGCAGTTTTCATATTTCACTATATACTGTAGGCCTACAGTTGAAAACCTTTTCATAGTAGTAACCTACCATATATTGTGGCTTTATTGATACAGTCATTGCTGCTATTGTAGCCAAACAGTTATATTTTGCTATTTTATTATGCACACTTTTTTTCTGTACAATGAACAGATAAAACCCTCTGTGCGTAGAACATTTCATATATACTACTATTATACTACACATGGAGAGTATACTAACTTTTAAAACCACAGCCAATCCAGCATCATAATTATACAGTGCAAGCATGTAAATTGGATGCTGTACTACTGCAGTTTTGCAGCACAAGTGTGGTGATTTGGATGCAGTAGAAGTGAATTTTTGAGTACTGCTGTTGTACTGTGCTCAATTTAGCATGTTTTACTACAGTTACAAATATTACAATACATTTTTTGAATGTGCTTATTGGATATTTAAATACTTTACTGTTGCAGGTAACAGCATGGCATGTTTAAAGTGTGATATTCATGTACATGCATCTTTATCTTACTCTGTGTGTGTGTGTGTGTGCGCGCGTTTTTGTGACAAATGAGGACATAAATTTGTATAATGACAAGGGTATGACATAGGTATTACAAGGAGAAGGTGACTTTGTGTTCAAGAGAGTGTACTTTAAAAAAAAGTGCACTTTGTAATAATATTGCTTTTAAAGTATACTTTAAAGAACATTTTAAATCATTGTTTTAATAATCTTTTGTTCTTTTTGTTCTGTGTTGACTAACGTAAAGTAATTGATTATAATTGTAACTGTAGTGTATTATTCAATATTGTATGTAAAGTTAATATATTTTTTAAAAGTTTCAATAGAAATTATAATAAAGTATATTTTGGTTCACCCTAAATGCTTGTCATGCACTTTAAGCATATTTAAAAGACAAAAGAATAAGTAATAATGAAACAAAGATGTATAAGTCCTACCTAAGTTGGTCAAAAACACTCTAAAGGTCAGCTAATTGCATTTAATATAAATTTTTATTATGATACATTTTCATTTAATTGCAGTTAACATGCAATTAAGTGTCTGAAAACATTATATTCCGTTTGCACTTAAAGGTGACATATCATGAAAATCTGACTTTTCCAGGTTTTAAGTGCTATAATTAGGTCCCCGGTGCATCTACCAACCAAGGAAAGGTGAAAAAGATTAACCCAGTAACTTTGTTTTGGTAAGCCTTTTTCTACAAGCGTCTGAAAAAAAAACGAGCGCGTCTGATTTCGCTCCCCTAGTGACGTTGCAAAGGGATCTCATTATAATATTACGCCCCTTAATCTCTACGTTTCCACCCACGACGCCATCATTTGATTTCGCAAGCGACAACGGTGTACCAGTTCTAATGCCATGGTGAACGTTTGAGCAAAACACGCTAACTGTTCGGCTGCACAGACGAGCACAGAACACTGTTTACAGTCTCAGCCTCAGAGGAGACAAGAGAGCAGTGGATTTATTGATTTAATATCAGAGGTTTAAACTAATATGGTTTAAAACGCATGATTTCAGCACGATAAACATTCTAATCAGAACCAAAACAGTTGTTTTTTAGCAGGTACGAGCTGTAATGGCGCAGCTCTATTCTGGAAAAGGGGGCGGGGAGCAGCAGCTCATTTGTATTTAAAGAGACAGGCACGAAAAACAGCGTGTTTCTGCTTCCACTCAAAATAGGCATTTTCAAAATGATATAATAAATGATCTGTGGGGTATTTTGAGCTGAAACTTCACAGACACATTCTGGGGTCACCAGAGACTTATATTACACATTGTAAAAAGGGGCATAATATGTCTCCTTTAAGTATATTATTTCTGTATAATAAGTACACGCACAGCTTGTACAGTAAACAATGTGAGGAGCCATTCTGAACTCCTAAAAGATTTGTATATGTTCAGCAGACAAACATATTTAAGTCCATGTCCTACATCCGGCCTGTCAGACAGCTAATTAGAGCCGAGGGTCTTTGCTGTGCGAGTTAATCGGCAGCACACTGTTTTATCAGCTGTCTGTAATTGGGATATGATCATGTGGTGGGTTTATTTAGTTGTAATGAGGCGGAAAGGTGAACACCATATTTACCCAGAATCAGACAATAACCAGCATGATCTCTAGAGGGACAAGCTCTGTTGGGAAAGTCACCCGCACTGCTCTTGAGAATGGCTTATAGAGAGTCCAAGGAAGTCATTGTAGTACTCAGGGTAAAATTGAAATGGCCTGTCTGGGCTTGTCTGGCACTTGCTTCCCTCTCGCTCACTTTTTCCCCCTTTCCCTTCCTGCATCCCACTGTCACGGTGCACTTGCTGGATGTTTGCATTTTAGTCTCATGGCAGAGAGAGCCGCGTTAAGGAAGTGTCTGTTTCTTGGTGTTAGCTGAATGACTGAGACAAACAAGCAAAACAGGCTGGCAGAAGGAAAGCAACTCTGTCTCCGCAGACTGACCGGCATACAAATCTTCACAAAAGGTACAAAAGACCATACCTTGAAGGTAAGTGGCCGCTATGGAGCCTAGTGGAGTAGATACAGCTGACCACCCTCCAGCCCTGAAGTGTTTTTACACTCAGTCTCCATATGGTGGGGTGGCAAATGTGTTGTATATACACCATGTTCAGTCAGAGCAGATGTGTGTGGCCACCCCCTCCCACAAAACTGGCCGCCATGGCACAAGCTTTTCTGTTCATCCACAGTAGTGTCTGTTCTTCTTGCACCATGTGGAGTTGAAGCATTCTCAGAGGGCTTCAGTGCCAATAAAGAAGGTTTAAAAAGCTGACCCCTAACAGTCGTGTGTTTTCAGGGGAGTTAGGTGGATGTTGTCTTTAAACAAACAGGCCAGGCTGTGGTGAATGCATCCCTCTGAAGGAGTGAGGCAATTATGTGGATCGTATTGCCCCGGGATGTTTTGAAAATGTGACTTTGAAAAGGAGGCTTTGTGGACGACAGTTTGACCTCTGACCTCAGCAACATATCTCATTTCAAAGTTCGATGCTTATTTTTAGGTTCCACCAGAGTGAACTTTAACATCAGTGGCCTTTGACCCCTGTGTGAACTTGACAGCACTGATTATTAGAGTTGTGTGGAATTCAGAATTTAAAAATTGGCTGTCTTTCATTTTATGAGTCAGTATTTGAATTGAACTGGCAGCAAGATGTTGAACTATAATTGAAATTACAGACAATTGGAATTTCCTGAACTGCAATTCAAAGATATTTTAACAATTGTTCTTCCACCCTGGTTTGTAAATCTGTCTGCAAAGCTCGTGACACACCAAACCAACATCAAAGAATGAGCAGCGATGAAAGCTGACTGTGTTGTTGCCTTGTGTCACCTAAGCCAAAAAGTTGCACTTGAACACACAGCAAAGACTACAGCCAGCAGCCAACTCAGCTGGAGGCAGTAGTCAACATTCGTTATTCAAAAAGGGAAACCAAATCTAGGACTCCAGATATACAAACCGTAAACAAAGCAGCGCTTACCATTTTGAATATGAATAATTTTTATCAGTCCACCAGTGGCCAAAAATCTACCAACATGGTCCAACTAGTGTCGATGCTGCAGAATAACAAGCCTAGAAAACTGAGCCGACAGATGCTCAATGTTCCGACTTTGGCCGCCAGCTTGGTGTGTCACTTCGTTGAGGCCTATAAAACCTTAAAACGTTCTAAGAACAGTGTATATAAGAGAAAAAAAAGTCATATGAGCAAGTATCAAACTTTTGCTGTAGTTTGAATCTTGTTTTGGCATGGGCTCTATCAAACTTTCTTTGTTTTGACAATGGGTGCTCCCCAGAGGTCAATGAGTGTTGCCGTTTAGAACTGTCCATATTAAACGTCTGCTAGCTGACTACTTCAAATTCTATGTAACACTATTTATTTTCACAACAAACTACAACCTCTCCTCATCACCCTGTTGTGCAATATAGTAGTCAAACCTTCTTGACTGTGTTCATGGATTTTGTGAATTGTAATTTCCCTCCCAATCTGACCTGATAGCTCAAAGTCTATCTATACAGATATGAATAGATTGTTTTATGTACTTGCTCAGTAATGACATTTTGTTCATTTTTAACCAAAAACTTGGGGGGGGGGTCTGTATTGTAGCTTTAAATTCAAATGTGAATTCCAGTATTAGTTCTGTTTCAATTTGTAAAGGCACACAACCTTACTGTCTATGAGACTTATGTAGTTACATAAGTGTCCGTGTTGCTCAAACAGTAGGGCATTTTTATCATTATTTTATTAACTGATAACAATGTTTTTGTTGAATGCACTGTAAGTTGCTTTGATTACAAGCATCTGCCAAAAGTAAAAATATTTTTTAGCACTTTCACAAATGTTTGTCCTGGCAAGTTTAGATACATTTTTTGCTGTTTATTTCTGTGCGTCTGTATGATATGCAAATGGACAAAACAGGGAAAAACAACTTCAGACTCATTGTGAGGTCAGAACCTGCCATTCAGTCCAGTTCCAGTTTCCAAATCAACCTGGCATACTGCCTTTAGCCAGGACAGGAAGTGGGTGGAAATGGACTTCCTGTCAGGATGTGGCTCGTGAGAGCGCAGCACAGAGTACAATCGTATGCTACGTTCTCACCCAGACTACAGCACCTGTGCTTCCTCTACGCAGGACACATGCAAGAGCTCCGACTGAGGCCCAACAGACCTCTCTCAGAATTGTTTCCTCCTTTACACACAGTGCTGACTGATGTTCTCCTGGCTTTACTTTGATGCTTTGTGTCCAACTCGAATTTGTTTTCACATGTCAGAAAATGTCTATATGTTCTGCTCTTTAGATGAATGTAACGTGAAGCACCATTGCAGTTTCCCAATGGTATGATCATATTGTCACTGCTGTTGCCATGTGTTTTATTTAAATCTGTACTTACCCTGTGGATTTGTTGTGCGTTGCAGAGGTTTGGCATAACCGAGATGAAAAACAGAACTTCCTTCAATGTTTTGATGCTCAATTGGTGTGTGAGGAGAAGAGATTGGAAGTTGAAGAGGAGCTCAGAGTTCAGGTGGGAGCAGAGCTGTCATCAGGGGGGAACCAGGGGCCTGTGATGAAGGAGGCTCAGTAAACACATATTAAACCTTCCAAAAGTATGAGTGGGGCCCTCAGTTTCATAATTTTGTCTTGTACCCTTGTGAATTCAAGCCCTGGTTGGGAGTAAAGAAATCAACACTCTCTCTGCACTACATTTTTATAAAAGTCATAACACTCTATGAAAACAAAACACCTCAGCTCCTTCACTTCCCTTGTGGCCTAATTCATTCCTTTACATTTTTTTAGTCTTTCTCCCACTTTGTTTTTATCTTTCTCTATCTCTTTGTTTCAGGTGGATGAACTGATGAGGCAGGAACTGAAAAACCTTAAGCTGGTGGTGGACCGAGACAAGGGAAAGAAAAAGAAAAAAGTCAAGAAAAGTAGTAAAAAGGTGAATGGCATGCATACTTCCTTGGAGATAAGACCTTAAGCACATTCTAAATGCCCTGCATGAGTGACAGTGTACAGATGCTCAGTGCTCCCTGCTCAGATTCTAGATGGTGACTGGTCTGTAAACGCCTGTAACGTGTCGTTTAGTCTGGATGGAACCAGAACTTGAGATGTACTCTCAGCCTTCTGTTTATGCACCTTGTGTGAGGGGCCCTGGGGTCATACAGTGATCTGCCCTTATGACCAGGAATGTGGGCTGGACAGAGAATTAGTAAAGGTGTCTTGCCCTCGTCAGCTTGTGTTTTGATAGGGCCCCTTTTTCCCACCTTCTCTACCACACACACACACACATAAGCAATATATGTCTAGTGGAACAAAGACATATATGCCTGGGTAAAGTACATTTACACACACAAGAAGGTTAAATGTGGCTTATTGACACTGGCATTTGAATATGCTTCCATAAAATCCTAAACCCAGAAACCCAGTGTTATCAGAATGTTGATACTTTACGACTTACTACATCACAACGGTCAATACTAGGCATTCATATGTGCAAAGTGCACACAATAAACACAAATTATCATGCTAGCAATATCTAGACAGAATAATAAACATAGCCCGAGATAAATGTGAATATGTGTGTGGCTGTTTAACTGTGACCTGTAAATATATGTGAATATATAGGTGATCAATCCATCTCTGTATTTCCTGCAATCAGTCAGTATTGTGTCTTTTCCAAAACAAGACGCAGAGAAAAAGGCCTCATCGCATGCCTGCACAAGAGCTAGAATTCCTCAACAACATATTTGGCACTCTGCTTGAGTTGTTTTACGCTGAGAGGTTTTGACAGCTAAATCGGTCACAGACGCTGTCTTTCTGACTCGTGTAATTTATACACAAAGATGTTTTATCATTAATCATCCTGCAAATGCAGGCACACGCAAATCGCATTCAGCTCTGCTGGCATAAGACTAAATTCCATTTTCTCACAATGTTGGTATATTGAACTTTGTAAAACATTGAAATTGAAATTTTGGAAAACATTCAGTGAATTTTGGAAGCTATGCAATTTGGGTACAGCAAATGAAACATTATGCAACAGGGAGGGTTTGTTTGTTAAGTGAACATGCGATGCCCAACTTGAGCTAATGCTAGCAGGAGTTCACTCTGTCTGTTATATAATTGCAGGCATCAGTGTTTTTAGGAGAAAGCTACTGACTTCTCCATTTGCAGGGTGTTTTCGATCTTAATATCACTGACTCACAAACTCAGACCTGCCAGGAAATGATCTAAAATTCTCCATAAAAATATTTTGGGGAATCACAGTACACTCAGTCCAGTGGTTTCTGAGAAAAAGCAGTGGATATGTTCTATTCCTCACCCAATAAATATTTAGAACATTTGGTAATGTATTATCTGAGAAAATACCTGGCTGCTAGTCCTGCTAGTCTGGTTCATTTGTGGTTTGGAAAAGCCAAGCAAGGTTCCAGGGTGTCTCCGGCAAGCTGCATAAAAAAGGTTGTATTAAGAGTTCTTTATGGATAATCAAGAAAATACACACGTGTAGTGACACACAGTGTAATCGATTTGTTTGTTAAGTCAAGTCTCCAGATGTTTTTCAGGATTTCTTCATTTTGGGTGCAAGCACATATGCCACACATCTGATTTTTCATTGTCGAGTCAGAAGATTTAATATACTGAAACAGACATGTACATGTTCCTTGCTGTTAAAAGAAAAATAAACTTCCTTTACAGTCTGACACTAATCTAGGCACACTTTGATTCACATTATGGCTTATTTCAATCTATTTTAATACAAACCAGAAAAATTTATACTGGTACTGTCATATGGCAAAATATTTTACTACCCTTCTTGATTCTTAATTATTTTCATATCTTGTTGTCCATAACTAAAAACACATTTTCTTTGCTTTCAGAAAAAAAAGAAGGGGCGGAAGACTGGAAAGAAGAAGAAGAAAGAGAAGGATCTCACAGCTGACAGGTTCGAATAACCAAACTGGTTTAAAATGCAAAGTATGTTTCGCGAGAATCTTGTAATGTAGTTTAATCATTGCTAATAGAGCACATTTGACCCCTGCCACTGTTTGCACTGGGAGATGTAGATCATATGTTAGACACCAGTGCACTGAGAGAGTTCTGCAATAGAGGGATTGTGTCTTTGGAAAGTGCTCAGGCGTTGTGAGTGTCAGGGGTTTGGAGCTCAGGGGGTGACTGGCGGACGTCCATGTGGAGCAGAAGAATTAATTGCTGGCTTTGAACGCTGTGATGTAATAGAAGGTTGCGTCAGATACACAGCATGACTGATCAGTTTGCAATGCTCTTTCTCTTGTTCTTTCTCCTAAACTTTCTGTCTACCTCTCTTTTTGTTTTCCCTCTAGGACCATAGAATCACTGTATGAGGAGCTTGTAATGGAAGGCTTCATAATCAGGCCAAAGAACATCAAGTTGACAGATTACATTGGTAAAAACCAAACACAATCACCACCGAGATAACAGTCACTTCTTTTTAGTCTCGGACATTCTGTAATTACCTGACCCAAAACTGGTTTAATTTGGTCAATTCTGCATTGAATTGAATGAAAAGTCTGTCATTACCCTTATCCTGTCGTTCCAAACCCGTATGACTTTCTTTATTTTGCATTTACATTACATGGTTCAAGTATCCCAATTCTGATTTTTTTTTTGTGCCCATGTGGCACAGATCGGATATGACCCACAAACATGCAAACAGGAAAAAAACAAATGGATCCCAACATTCTCAGATCACTTTCAGGCCTCATTCAAATGTGGAAATGTGAACTCTGTTATGAATCAGACATGCATTTGCATCTGTCATGTAAATCATGTAAACTGGTCATCAAAAGAATTTGATATAGTCAACAAATTGGAATTGTGCATCAAGACCTGCTGTAACGACGGAGGCGTGAGGATCCATCTGAAACTTTATTTAGAGCGTAGTCAGACAGGCAGGGTCAAAACACCAGCAAAACAGTACATCCAAGGTATTCCAAAAGAGTAATCCACAGAACAGGCAGTAAACTATCACAAACCAGGTAAACAGTCCAAGAACAAAGCATGAAGACAAGGCAAGGCAAGGCAGAATCTAGACAACATAACAGGCTAAAAATAATCAGCAATGTGTGTGTGGATGAGTGCAACCTTTATAGTGTCACTAATGGGAAACAGGTGTGGTGTGATAATGAGTTCCTAGGCAGGGGTTATGGGAAATGGAGTCCGGAGAAAACAAAGACGAAACCCACTATCGTGACACCTGCAGTGTAAATGTGGCCAAAATGTCTTCTTTTATGTTCCACAGACGAAAGAAAGTCATACAGGTTTGGAAAGACATAAGGGTGAGTGAATGATGACTGAATGTTTATTTATGGATGAAATATCCCTGCTTAAACTAAACATTACAATCAAAAAATATTTCATTCTGTTTTGAAGATGTAAACATTTCAGTTGTATGGTACTTTTTTTTCTAATTGAATAGTCTATAAATGGTGTACATATTTCTGAATAAATGTTAAGAATTTAACTAAAATTAATTAAAAGTATAACAGCATATCAACTATAACCAACAAATTTTAGAGCTATGAAACTATGACGAACTATAATTATACTTAGCAAAGTTAAGCATATTTAAATAAATGAATCATTTATTTAATTGTTTTTTCTTGGGAAATTAAATAAATAAACAGTTAAAAATTAACTGTCACTTCATTTTTTTGTAACATTCACTCATTCATTCATTTGTTGTTGTTATTTTTATTATTATTATTGGACAATCAGATCTTATAGTCCACCCTGTCAATGGTGCCAGAAAAGACTAGATCTTCATTTGGCACAAGAAGTTGAAGGCCCCTTAAGAATCATTCCATCCCCTCTGTTTCCTGGCACAATGTAATGCCACATGAAAAGAGAGACTCTTGTCCCAGTTCAATGGCTGTGGTCACACTTATGGACTCCAAACTGCCTCTGAAGTAATTTGTTTACTAAACATTTCAGTATTCCTGCTGATAATTCTTGGAAATAATTAGTATATCTAAATCACATAAAGTACATAAAGTCCAATCTCAGAGCTGTAGCATTGAAGTGAACATTTATTGTACATTGAGGGGTCTTTCCTAGAACAACTTAAAAACACTGCTTTCAGTGGTTTTCATGTTTTGCTATTGTTTACATCTCACAAGCACATTGAAGTCAGAGTTAACTCAGTCATATAGCAGCGTAAATTATGTTTTATGATGCAATGCATTGGCCAGGGGTTCAATCTGGGTTTTACTGCTGAAGCGACTTGATCACAGACACGTGCGCAGTGCTGAATCACATCCCTGTGAACGTGTGTGTATCACAGTGGATTTTATGACTCATCAACGGTTCAACTGCACAGCGTAGCAACCTAATGTTGCTCTGAAATGGCACAAAATATGAAACCTTAATATTTTGTTTCTGTTTAGTGTCTTCTTACAGGAACAGGGTGTGGCGTTTCAAGTATAGAAACCACATCGACTGCTATGTGATGGAACAACTTTGTTACTCTGACAGTTTTTTTTTTACATTCCATGGAAACCAGGGTTGTAACGGTGACGTGATGCAATGCTGGCAAGAAGCCATTGATGTCTAATGTTTGATAACATATGTAAAGCAGGCTGGCATACGTTTTTCCTTGTCTCTCTAGGCGAATACAGTTACCTGGGCACAACATTGCGGCAAGCAGATATTGAGCCCATGCCATCTCTCTCTGATGTCAGACAGCTCATCGCACTGTATGGCGTCCTGCCTCTGGGTGAGTGTAACCAGCTCTGACTAGTCAGGCCTAGTCACCACTGCTTCCCTTCATTTTAGTCATTAAAAAAAATGCGCAAAAACACCTGGAGTCTGGTACTACTAAAAAATTAATAATCATGAGATATTTTATTTGAATATATCTTCATATGAAAATTTTAAGAACAAACAGTCTGAGAATTACCAGTATTAACAAAACCATTAATAGTACTTATTGTTTTAAAACATTCACATAAACTTTCACTTTCAGATGAAAAGGGCAATTAATTTTTCATGCTGCGGTGGTTCATCAATAGGCATGCATATTCATGTTTATCAACAAAATTCAGTCCATGATAGTGAGTGGTAGATATAAATAGGCTAAATATATTTTACAATATATTAGGGGTCGACCGATATGTGTTTTTCGGGGCCGATGCCAATACCGATTATTACAGATCAAGTGGACCGATAACTGATATTTTGAACCGATATATATGTCTGGTGTAAAAATGAAAATTAATGTCAAAATTAAGAATAACAAGGGCTCTGACAAAAACTGCCTTCCCTGGTGTTGGTTGAGTGGCTAACCAGCTTGGGGAAATGTAAGTATTTAGCTTCAATAATTTACATGTTAGAAATGTATGTGTAATAGCATAACCATGCAAATGAAGGCATAAATCAATTTAATTTATCTTTAAATCAAATGGGAGTTAAACTCTTTATTTTTTGGCAAACAAAGGGTTTACTATTAAAATTAAAACATGGA